TTTTCTCACGATTTCACCCGTTTTGTTAGTTCCTCGAGCATCTTTATTATCTTGGGGTTGGTCTTGGGTTCAGCTTCATTTGGCCTTTCTGTGGCCGGTTCATTTCTGTGAGTGTTTTTCCAGGATGGTTTGGGCTCAATTCTGCTGGGGGCGCGGCTTTGGTTCTGCAACTGGGCTATTGTTGCTTGTTAATCCTGTAACATTTTGAAGATTACCTGCAAGTTGATCCCATCACCTTCGTCATCGTGTGTACTCTGGGCTATCGATCGGGCTCCTGCGCCAATGTTGTTTTCGAGGTCGGTAGGCAAGTTTTCTTCGATAGCCACGTGTGAGTAAGCATCGATCGGATCCGCGACTGGGACTCCATTGGGGTCAACAGGGGGCACCTCATTGTTGGGCGCCACGTTGTTGTTCTCGCCATGGTGGCCAGACTCAGCATCAACGTTCAAATGGGCAGATTGAGAGTTTGACATTTTTAATTTGACCTAAAATTAGAAGCTCAAAGAACAAGTGTAAAATAGAGTGCGTTATGAAAATTTTTATCAAATTGCCACTATTATCCTTAGCACCACGGTGGGTGCCAAATTCTTTACCCTAAAAATGGATAACAATTAAATTTATATGTGGTTTTAAGGATATGCGGATTAATTCAATACAAATGATAAATGGCGTTAGATTAAACAGATAAAGGGCGTAATAAATTGTCAAACCGATAAGGAGAGTGATCCCGGACTCAGTAACGTCTTAACGAGGTGCCTGCCTTCAATCCCGGGCTCACACTAATGAAGAACTGATGAACAAAAGTAAGATCTTTGAATGACAGATAGAATAATAGTATATTGCCTTGATATGCGTGTTACAATGTGTCCTATGAATAGTAAGCCTTCCCCTTTATATAGTAGGGGAGTTTTACCCTAAGTACAATTCTAAAAAAGGTAAAAATCTTTCATTTAGCTGATCACTGATTTTCTGCCGATACAAGCCGAGATTCACGCCGTGATATCCGGTTAGGCACGGACATCACGGCCCTTTGTTAGTCGTGCGCAGCTGCTTGGCAATGCTCTCAAAAGTCTCAATCCTCAAATCGAAGCTCGAGGATATGGCTCCGATATCCCCGAGGGCAAGTGTTTTGTCCGAGCTCCGATACGAGGGGTTCTTCGCTCTGACTCGGATATATTACGGTCACATTCCTGTTTTGTTTGGCTCACCAGGGAGTCGAGTCATGCAGTTGGCTCGGTTTTATCCGTATACAATAAGTTCCATTAAACTTATTGTTTTTGCTTTGACCAACACAGGTGAAAAAAAATCTTGAATAGTAGCGCAAAGTTGTTAGGTTTTGATCCATATTTTCAAAAAGATCATAATTTTAAACTTATTAAGTTTAAATTGTAGATTAGCCGATCATTAACGGTCGTCCGGTTGGGTTTTGAGGAGATATAATCTCCACATAAAATACAACACTGATGTAATGCTTGGTTGTTACTTTTGTATTCCTCATAAATAATACTTGTATAAGTTATGCGAGAATGAATTTATTATTTTATGTGGCATAGAATATGGAATAAAAATACAACTATTATTAATATACAGATTGAAACAATAAAATGACAAGACTAACACCCTTAATAATAAATAAAGTTTATTTTGTTAACAAAAAAAAATATACTTATTTTAAATTACACATTGTATGCTAGTTTGTAATGTATCAAACTAAACATTAAATAAAAAATAATCCTTGCATTATAAAGCATTACTAATCCCTACATAAATAATTATATATTATTAATTACTGCATTTCAATTTCCGAATTACTAATCACTGCATAGGATGTTTAAATCAAACAACCCCCGAGAGTTATATACCATCTAGAACTATATAATAGTACCATATTGGCTAAGATCAAAAAGCAGCGAATTGTGCATATGTCCAAGTATTATACGAAGAAACGAGATTAATTAATTTTTATACAAATGTGACATCTTACTTAGACACCACGACAAAATATTCCTTCAATCCTGTCATCTCTCAACAAAATAACATCTAAAAATTATTCTTTCGAAATTTTGTATTATCTTTTTTTAGTAACTCATATGTTAGTCAATCGACTAATTAAACCATATTAAAATATTATGTCTCTTCTAGTATATAAAAAAACGTTGCCACCTCCTAATATCATCATAATCACATCCAATAGTGGAGGGGCATATATGATTCTTTTTTGCAGCAAATGCAAACTAATTTCCATCTTAAATTACAGCCACAACATTAACTTGGATTTCAAGAGACAGTACACCAGCTTTTGTCCCCAATAAGATAGCAGCTAGCTAAAAAAAAAATGTCACGAGAATTTGTTAGGTGAATCTAGGAGGGCAAGTCCAAGAAGAAAATGCTGCCTTAATTACTTAATCAGAGTAACTCTTTGTATTAAAGATGGTAATCAAAGGTATTAGCTTCACATGATCGGCTTCCTAAGAACCCGACTTAGATATATACTATGGGCATGCTTTGCTACAAACTGTACAAATTTAGTCACTTTTAAACTGGTTAAAGTGGATAAAGTAATTCAGGGGTGATGACCCAACTTATCCAAAATTCGTTCATGAGTAGGCTAAACATATGTTGATCAGCAAGTTAAAACCCAATATATCTAATACACCTGTTTGGCACAACTTTTGGGAAGTTTAAAAGCATTTTTCTTTAGAAAAAACAAAATATTTCTATTTTGGAGATCTGAAATGTTCCACTAAAAAGGAAAAATACTTTTGAATAGAAGCAATTCTTCTATTGCGGGAAAAACAAAAAAAACTGCAAATTGTTGCTTTTTCACAGAAACAAAAGCAGAAAATATATTTGTTAAGACAAAAGTATCCTAATCAATAATTTTATTTTCAAAAGGGAAATCAATAATTAGAACGTTATCCTTTGTCTCTTTCACACGGCTTTTTTTTCCATGTTTTCCCTAACTCTTTCTTTTTCGCTAATCTCACCGAATCTCAAACAAACGATTAAACATTATTGAGTAAATCAGCTTATGTGGAAATGCCAACTTAAGCAAGAGAGTTAATATTGTTGTTGATGTATAGCTGTGAATAAAGGCGAGAGTCCCCAACTTTTGCTGGTTTCCGATAAATTTTCATCTTATATTTTCCATTTTGTACCAGAGGGGTAAAAAAGAAGTTTAAAGGAAAAATCTTGCCAATTGAAGAACCAAAGTAAAATACCAGTTCTAAACTGAATGTTACCAAGAATATCTTTTGAAGCAAACATAAACGCTTACCAAGATTAGTTTATTTACCACCCGATGTGGCAATGCCAACTTAAACAAGAAAAGAATTGATCTTAACACTATATAGAGGCCCCCACGACTTCATTTACTAATTTGGAATAAGTTTCCTTTGTTCTATCTTCCATATATTTTGTAAAACAAAGGGGTAAAGTTTAAAAGAAAAACTGCGTTGCCAATAGCAAAATTCCATCAGCCATCAAGTAAGAAACTATGGTTACTTTAGAACTTTTATATATATATATATATAGTACACGCTTAAGTTAGTGTAATTTTCTAATCCTTTTACTACTAACCAGTTCCGTCTCAAAGCAACTGGATTGTTTGGACTTTGGGTACGAAGGTTAATGCATTGTGTCAACATCAATTTCTTCCTTCCGTTGAAATAATATACAGTTAGAAATTATATAAAAGCTACTACTATAAATTATACTTGAGGTAAGAATATTAGAAATTACAAGAAAAATTATTTGACTCTCCAATAGTAAAATTAACTCTCTTTTTGAAGATTGCCGGAATACAAAACTGGGCAAAATTGTACTACTTTCAGTTTTGTTGGGATTTATAAAGAATGCATCTATCCTTATCCCTTTATATTTGCAGGCTGATGTTACGCCTCGGCCATTTATCAATCCAATGTTTTGGACGAATTGAGCTATGCTAAATCCTTTTTTTTTTCTTTCCAAACTCATTTGACCCCGCGAATTGATGTATTATACTAACAGTTTTTTAACTATCCGATATTCGAAAGATACAAATTTGATTAATTCAGATTCGCGTCAGCGGACTTACTAAGAAGGGTATATGCTCCCGCCAAAAAAAAAATCATGGACTACAACACAACATATTTGGAATCGGATTGACTAAGTTACATAATCTTGGATCAGAATTGAAAAACTGAATGGGAAGTGCTCGTGTTGGTGGCACTTACTAAAGCTTGGGAGGCATTCATGATTTGATCCTTGCACGCCTTTGCACCCTTTTTTATGTTCTTTCACTAAATAAAATTATGGCAAGATAAAAGAAGAAGGGGACATATATATATGAGGATGAGGCAGGGGACCATGTTTCCACTTGACCCCCCTACTACAAAAACTGCCTATAATTTTAAGTACTTGCAGTGTGCGTCTTACGTTTTCCTTTACCTTTTCCTTCGGAGGACACTTTGGCTGAGTTTAAGCTTGTAATGGATTTGCAGAAAATGATGGCCCCTCTCATCTTCTACGGAGTCAATCATATTGGTTTAAGCACTCCGGGGTTTAAGCATGCAGAGGCGGATCTAGGAATTGAAGTATTTGGGTTCCTACCACAACTTCAGGTCAATATATCATAATATCCGAACTAAGAAACAAGTATCAATATTCAACGTATATTTACAAAATAACAAAATACTTAAAGACAACATATAAATATAAAAATTATCATTACAATTGTACTTGACGACTAGTCATATTTTGAAAATGATCAATGATCAAATCATTAGGTACACTTTCAAATACTTCATCCTCTATATAACAAACTAAACAATCATTCAAAAATTCATCACCAATTCTGCTTCGCAAGTCACTTTTAACGTACTTCATCGAAGAAAAAGCTCTTTCTACCGTTGCAGTAGGGACATGCAATATCAAACTTAACTTCACAAGCAAATAAACAAGTCTCCAAGTCATGTGCAAATTTGTTTTAACCAATGTCTCTGAAAAATCTCCAAGGCTTTTCAAGTTAGAGAATTCATTGCCTGCCTCTCGCACATAGTCAATATAGATGTCAAGCTCAAATCAAGATCCCCAAGCATAGAATTAGTAAACTCATTCGGATAGTGTGTTGCAAGTTTCATAATCCTGTCTTTATCATAATTTGCAAAAGAATAATTTGGACTCAAACTAGTCATACCAAGAAGTATATCAGTATTCACTTCACTGAAACGATTGTTAAGCTCCGAAAGTTGTAAATCAATAACAGTATAGAAAACCTCTACACGCAAATGATAAAAATATGTAACGCTTGATTTCTTACGCTTCGACTTTCCACGAGAATAATTCATATCCATTTCGGGGATTACAATATCATGCTTAACACAAAATAAAGAGACGTCTTCTACCAAAGAATTCCATCCAGATTCTCTCATAACTTGCAATTGTCTCTTTGCAAAACCAACAAGCTTCATGGCACTTACAATATCTTGATCTTTTTTTGCAAAGCTATATTTAAATCATATGTAAGTGCTAACATTTTGAACATTAAATGCAACGTATACACAAACTCATATGATCTTATGTCATCCACTAGACTTTTTACCATTGATCTCTCATGATAATTTGAACCCTCAATTGCAAGAACTCGGTCACGTAGATTAGGAGGATCGATATTTTGAAATTTATTTTCTTTCACCAGGATCAGGTACAAGAAGATTCAAATCCAACATATTATCTTTGTGTGACGATTGGGAAGAATTGACATTATTATTAGCCATTGGACATGAAGGAGAGCTTAGTGAAGGAGAACTAGAAATAGAACCTGAAGAGGTTTGCGGCTTGAAGAATCTCTTGATCATCTTGACTCTTACTAAAATATCCTACAAATCATAAGAAACAAATTAAATATTACAGAATGTTAACCAAAAGATCACTTTGCAACATATTATTTTTTTCATTAATGTTACAAAGTTTGCACTTTAATTAATTCTTGGGAGCAAAATACTTCAAAGAAAGAAAGAACTATAGTTAATTAATGGCTTAATAATAGACATGATCTAAGTAGCTTTAGTGCATTGGTAGAGATCAAAATTTGTATTGGCTTCCATGGAATCACAGAGAAAATTAAATCAATTTGAAGGTGCAATCTAATAACTTTCGGTGACTTACCTTTAAAGATCAGTTTTTCTTTAATTTCTTATACTCTTTTTATTTGCAATAAATACACTCCCCTTTTAAAAATAAAATCTAGAATCCCAACTTCATAAGTTAAATAAAAAATTAAAATTTATTAAATCTAGAAAAAGAAAACAATAAGTATTAAAGTATATGGTCCCCAACTCCAAATTCTAATGAATATTAATACACTACTTTTGTAAAAAATGGTCATGACAATAGTACAAAAAATTAAGAGATATTATTTTACATAATATTGTATAAGAGGAAAACAATTAAAAAAGAAGGAGGAGGAGGAGGAGAAGGAGGGAGATCGAAATACTTGTTGCAATGGAGTGGCAGTAAGTGAAGAAGTTAAAACTAGCTTTTAACTTTGAGTGGCAGCCTAAAGGTTAAAACCCGGCATTGAAGAAGGAATGTAAAATTTTAAAACCCTAACTTTTCTTTGAAAGTTTGAATTGGGATTTGGAAGAAAGAAGTTTGAGAAACCTTTTTTAGTCATTGTTGACTTGTGTCCTTTTTAGTTAGAGTCAAGTCTTTGCTATTATTTTTTTAATTAAACAAATAGAGTAAAGTTAAAGGCTAAAAGTTGTCACTAACAAGGAGGGAAAGTGCATAAAACTTTGTGCCAAAAAATATGGGAAAAAGTAAAGTATGTTGATAGGATTCGATCTTGCATTGTGGGTTATGGGAAAATCAATTTGGGTTCCATACCTTACCATTGAACCAGAAAAACATTTTGTAACTGTGTTTCCATATAAATATTGTTATATATTTAATAGATTTCTTAATATAAATATAAGATCTAGGCAAAAACTATTGGGTTCCCCGGGTTTAAGCATAAAGCATGCCCAGACTCTGCAGTCTAAATTGTCTCTATCTGTTCAGTTGTACAATGAATTACTAGATTAATAGTATGTTTGGTTAAGCTTCTCCAAGGCCAGAAAAGTATTTTTTTTAAAGTTGAAGTGTTTGGCCAAACTTTTAGATGAAAAAAATACTTTTGAGTAAAAGCACAAAAAAAGTAGCTTCTTCCTAAAAAAAATTTAAAATAAATACTTTTGAGAAAAATACACTTAGAAGCACGTTTTAAAAGTTTGGCTAGAATTAATTAGTGAGACATAAACTTGCTTCTCACTAAAAATACTTTAGAAAAAAATACTTTTGAGAAAAAATACTTCTCTAAATAAGTTTATTTTAGAAGTTTTGCCAAGGCTATAACTTGTTCAAAATTTAGGCCTTTTATCTTGAGCATTTATCTAGTCCTTTCTTGTTGTGCACCTTGTAAAATGGATCCAGTCCACAGTAATAGCAGTCCAATATATTTAAGTAAAAATAGTATGGGCTAGCCAGTTTTCGAACTGATAATCGAAAAATAGTAATTCATTAAAAAGGCTATTATTTTATATGGAGATAAAATTTGGACAAAAATACTCTGATTGCCACGACCCGAAATCCCAATTACGGGGCCATGATGACGCCTATCATCCACTTGCTAGGCAAGCCAATGTTAGCTAATTAATTATCCATTTTAAACAATTTAAAAGAAGAACAATAATAGTTAACGACTCATAAACTCTTAAATACATGAGAAAAATATAAAAATTAACGTAGTCTAAACTAATCCTACTAATTCGGATCACAAGTACATGAGCAACTAGAATACTACAAATATGGTTTGAATGAAATACATCTGTTTTGAAACAAAGTAAACAGTAAAAACAAGATACGAACACTCTGCAGTTCTACCTCAAGTCTCCCAAATGAGTCGGATCCGAGCAATCTCTCCTATGCGCCGCTAGGACTAACACCGGGATCTGCACAAGAAGTGCAGAAGTTTAGTATGAGTACAATTAACCCCATGTACTCTGTAAGTATCGGGCTTAACCTCGACGAATTAGTGACGAGGCTAAGACAAGACACTCACTATAAACCTGTACGAATAATAAATGAAATACAACATAAATATAGATAAAATAAGCTCATAAAAACGGGACCCGAATGCCAACTAACAGAGGGCCCCAGAATAACATCATCTCATAACCTCATATCACCATATAGAAAATAGAGCACCACAACAACAAATGGTACAACATATCATACTATGTTGCGGCGCGCAACCTGATCCCAACATTTATTACAATATCTGTTGCGGTGCGCAATTCGATCCCAATATCATATCAATATCGATTGCGGAGTGCAACCTATTTCCATTAGCAATTCATTTCAATACTGTTGCAGTGTGCAGCCCATTCCCAAAATCAACTCATTAACATGAACAACTCAACACCATCTAACTTCGTAATCTCAACACAAAAGGAAATAAAGCGTATAGAACATTAAGGATCTACTAGTACCAAATAGAGAATAACCAATACATCGTATTCACAAACCTCGACAAATCACAAATACAAGACTAGCTAAATTACTCCCACAATCGGACACAATATAATTGTATATGATCAAAATCGGGCTTGCTCGATTTCGTATGGTTAATCGAGACCGGGATGACAGACCGAGGTTTCGATCCCAAGTTATATTGGATCACTACATGAATAGATATTGCCTAGATCATGATTCAGGGATCGAGATCGAGACCAGCTAAGGTCGAGAATGAGAAGGATAGAGATCTAGCGAGATTGAAGAAAGCCTGCTAAGTCGAATAACAGAAAGCCGAGAAATCCGTGATCGGGAGAGGATTGTGGCGGAGATCTCGGCATGTATCAAGACAAGACCGGTTGATTAGGAAATCAGGAGATTTCTTTCTGTATTTAGAATTGTACCATATGTGGAACTCCTCTACTATATAAAGGTGGTTCCAATCATTTTGTAATGATCATATTCACGCATATCAAAGCAGTTTATAAAATTTTCTTAAGCATTCTTATTCTGTTGTCCAGTTCTTGCTTTTCAATAATATACTCAGTTGATTCAAGGGCGACCAAGCTCGAGGGCCAAGGTAGCATGTTACATTGGTTTGCTTTGCTTTACAGTTAATTTCTAACTTTAATTCTCATATTTCTTAGTTTGTGCCAAGTAAAATCACATATCCTTAAAACCAATTATAAATTTAATTGTTATCCGATTTTAAGGGTAAACAGTTTGGCGCCCACCGTGGGGCTAAGGATAATAGTGATTGCCTGGTGCTAATTTTTATAACACACACTACTTTACACTTGTTCTTGTAAGTGTTTTTGATTCTAGGATCAGCATGTCGAACTCTTGAGCAGTACCCACACACATTGACAACAGCCTTGGCTTTCATGGCCAAAACGACAACGTAGCCTCCCTAGGAAACGAAGTGCTTCCAGTTGACCTCGAGGGAGTACCAGTTGTAGACCCCATCGACGTTAGTTCCCATGTTGCTCTGAATGCAAATTTGGGCGTCGACCTCGAAAATAGCATCCGCAGAGACGTTCGATCAGCCGGTCAGAACACACAGGGCGGTGAAGAAGGCGGAATCAGCCTTCGAATAATATTCGAAATGCTGCAGGCTCAACAAGCTGCAATAGCACAACTTCAAAATCAAAACCATGCACCGAGTAGGGTCGAACCCGAGCGAACCCACGACCACAGGACCGAACCATTCTCGGGGAGATCAAATGTGAATGAGTCAGGGACCGACCTTGCTATCTTGAAAATATTCAAGGAGCTGACAAAGAGAATTGAATCGGAGGAGAAGAAGATTGAAGCAAATGACAAAAAGTGGAAACATATAACTCCCAAGTTGATCAAATTCTGGGAGCACCACCGATTTTGAAGGGTTTGGATACAAAGAAGTTCGTACAAAAACCCATCACCCCGAGCGCGGCTCCTAAGCCCATTCCGAAGAAATTCCGCATACCAGAAATTTCCAAGTATAATGGACTACCGACCCCAACGAGCATGTCACTTCTTACACATGCGCAATAAAGGGGAACGATCTAGAGGACGATGAGATTGAGTCCTTACTGCTGAAAACATTCGGAGAAACTTTATCAAAGGGGGCGATGCTATAGTACCATAATTTACCACCTAACTCCATTGATTCTTTTGCCATGCTCACAGATTCCTTCGTCAAAGCATACTCCAGAGTGATAAAGGTCGAGACTAGAAAGTTGGACCTCTTCAAAGTAAAGCAGAAAGACAACGAAATACTCAGAGAGTTCGTATATTAGTTCCAAATGGATCGTATGGATCCTCCCCCGGTCGCCGGTGATTGGGTCATTCAGGCTTTCACTCAAGGCCTAAACATACGAAGTTCGATAGCCTCACAATAGTTAAAGCAGAACTTGATCGAATATCCAACTGTAACCTG